CACACACACACACACACACACACACACACACACACACACACATATCCCCACAATCAAGACAGTAGGCATTGTCTCCCAAACTTTCCCCATGCTCCTTTCCCTCCAACCTCCCCTTTCCCTCTGATCTCCAGGCAACCACTGTTCTACTTTCTGTTAGAACAGATTAGGTTTCATTTTCCAGAATTTTGTAAAAATGGAATCATGTAGTATGCACTAATTTGTTCGTTGTCTTTCACTCAGCCACTTATTTTGAGATTGATGTTGGTTGATGTATATATTAATAATTCATACTTTGAGGCAACCCACTTTCTGGTCCCCCTTCTGTCTCTCTTAGATAGAAGCTTTCTTTCTCTCAATAAATTTTCCTACTCTTTAAAAAAAAAATTCACACTTTTATTTTACTTCATTTGAGACAAAGTCTTGCTATGTAGTTCAAGCTAGCCTTGAACTGAATTTATAGCCCAGGGTGGCCTCAAACTTGCAGTGATCTTCGTGCCTCAGCCTCCCAACAAGTGCTGGGATTACAGGTGTGTGCCCCTACACCCAGGCTAATTCACACTTTTATTGCTGAAAAGTGTTCCATTCTGTGGTTAAGCTGCAAATCATTTGTCCATTCATGTGCTGAAGGACATTTGGACATTTACAACTACAGCTGCTCTGATCCTTTCTGTGTCAGCCTCTATATGGACAACTGCTTTCTCTTGACTGAACATCTCTGGATGGAATGGCTAGGTCACAGAATATATGTTTGCTTAAATTCTTGTTGACATTCAAAAGTAAGCCTTTGTGAGTTATTTGCAACACTGCAGATATAAAAGAAGGAACAACTGAATTTTTCCATGGTAAGGCTGTTCACTTTGAAAACTGGTCTCAGTAGAATGGTAGGTGGGAAGATTTTAGAGTGGAATTAGGAAAAGCAGTGAAGAGAGAGCTTGGAAAGTGAATACAGATAAGGAATTTTGCTGTAAACAGTCGGGAGAGCCAGATGTGATGGCATACACATGTAATCCCAGCTATTCTGGAGGCTGAGACTAGAGACAAATTTGTGTCTAGCCTGGGCAGTTTAGTAAGATCTTGCTTCAAAATAAAAGGGCTGGCGGGGGGGGATTTAGCTCAGTGGTGCCACTGCCTGCCTTGCAAGCACAAGGACCTGAGTTCGATCCCTGGTACCAAAAAAATAAAATAAAAGGGTTGGGGATGTAACTCTGAGTGCCTAATATGCATGAGGCCCTGAGTTTGATCCCAGAACTGAAGAAGGTGTGAATTGTTCTTTTATGTTTTATGTTATGTGAATTGAACTTCAGTTAAAAAAAAGAGAGAGACAAAATCTTGGTCCCCAATCCACATCCTAGGCTTGAGTATGGTGTGTTCTACCAAAATTCATTTGTAATACCAGGCAGCAGCCAGTGTCTGCCAGATCTAAAGACTGAGTGGTGCTGGTGTGGCAGTCCCCTCTAGAGCTGCCAGAGGCAAGGAAGGTGTCCTTCCAGACAGAGCCCTGCCAGGAATTCCCTCTGCCACCTGTTCCAGTTCTTCCCATTGGACACACTTGATTATTTAAGAATAAACACCTGAGCATTGAAAATGAAATGTTAAAATGCTAACACTTCAACTTTTGTTTAATTCTAGCTGCAAAAGACAAGGAAAAGAATAAAGAGAAAAAATTCAAAGAGTTTGTGAGAGTGAAACCAAAGAAGAAGAAGAAAAAGAAAAAGAAAACCAAACCTGGTGATTTTCCCTTGAGGTTCCCTTGAGTTTCCTTGTCCTAGGTGGGGAGAGGTGGCTTCTTCCCTTGTGGTCTCTGAGCTGCACGGAGGAGAGTAAGGACCAGCAGGCCTCTCTCAGGGCTTGTGTGTGCAGCCTGGCCTGGGTCCTGGCAGAGCTTTGAAGTGAGATACTCCCCCAGGTCTTACAGGGCCCAACTGGCATTTATAAAAGCTCTCCCACTTGCTGCATTGGCCAGTGTGCCCTGTCACAGATCTGGTTTGTATGAAGGCATCAGAGTCCAAGAGGATGTGCTGATGAGTGACAATTTTTGTTCATACACATGACTTTTTTTTTTTTTTGGTACCAGGGATTGAACTCAGGACCTCATGCTTGAGAGGCAGGCGAAGTGCCACTGAGCTAAACCCTGGCCCCTTCACACATGTGACTTTTAAACATACATCTCTCAAGAAAAGATTTACTTTGTGAAAAGTGTTTGTCTACCTACACAATAATATTAATGAAAATCTGTGTGTCATCCTTGGCAGTTAAAGAGATGCCAGGTTTTATTCTCAGTGTAGCTTCTGGCTTAGAAAAACAGTCTAATCAGGAAAGAGCAAGAGGGTGACAGTAAAGAAGAAAAATTTGGGGGCTGGGGATTTAGCTCAGTGGTTCCACCGCCTGCCTTGCAAGGTAAGGACCCGGTACCAAAAAAAAAAAAAAAAAGAAGAAAAATTTGGGCTTAGGATTCTCAGGGGTGGCAGAAAATATGAATCCTTAAATCTGCCGTCCATGCCTTTCTGTGGTTGAACTGTCCCCACGCCTTTGAGCTCTTTGAAAAACAGACTTGTTGGTTGGATGAGGTTGATTCTGGAATGTCCTGATGATCTCTTCCATTCTTTCAGAATGCCCCTGCAGTGAGGAGATCAGTGACACTTCCCAGGAACCATCGCCACCCAAGGCATTTGGTGTGACAAGGTGTGGGTCCTCACACAAGCCTGTAGTCCATATGAGCCCACAGCTCCATGGCACAGAAACTGGCAACCACAAAGGGAAATTGAAAGCATCTGGTAAGGACACTCACTGTGGCCTGAAGATACATTAGAAAATAGTACTTAGATAGTGTCTGGTACAGAAGAAGTGTTTCCTTGTCCTAGGCGGGGAGTGGTGGTAAAAGTTAGCGGTGACTCTGGTTCTGATTGTCCCTGGGATTCTTCACTCCATCCCCACTGTTTGCAGAGTGTAAAAGAACTGTGGACACAGATTGACAGCAAAGCAGGTCCTGGCTGGATGGGGAATGCTGAGCAACATGTTAGAGGTGCCATGGGTGATGGACTGTATGGTTCATAGAGACTTGTAGCTTCTTTGCCAACAAGCTCTGTGACCTTGAGCACCCACTGACCTTGGGCTTCATGTTCTCCCGGTGAAATGGGGAAAGGAGTGTTTTGAGGCAGCGTATTCTGTTTGGGCTGTTACTAATGACAAACCCAGGGGACAGATTGGTACCTCCATTTCCCAGCCCTGAGCAGCTCCTGGAGGAGTGGGTCTATAAGTCATTTTCCACTCTGGACACTAGGATTTTATAAAATTTGCAGCTCTAATTTAAAATAGTAACTGTTGCTTTCCTTCTTCTTCCAGAGGAGGATAATTTGAGTGAGTCCTCTTCTGAGAGTTTTCTTTGGAGTGATGAGGAGTATGGTCAAGATGTTGATGTGACTACCAACCCAGATGAGGAACTTGATGGGGATGACCGCTATGATTTTGAGGTGGTCCGTTGCATCTGTGAAGTCCAGGAGGAAAATGATTTCATGATTCAGGTAAGTAGACCTTCCAGAACATAGGTCTATAGAAGAAAAAATAAAATACACTGGTCCTTGGAGAGAAGTTGAGGCCAGCAGTAGTGGTGAGTCACATCCAAAGCCCCAGATATTTGGTACTAATAGTAGCAGACCAAGTTTGCTTCTGGTTTGATTTTCTGGGAATTTCAGGCTGCTGTAAATAGACCATCAATAGAATCAAAGAGGCTTTGAGAAATCATTGATTACAAACCTCTCGTCCTCTGCTTAAATCATTTGAAGCCTGCTCTGGGTTAAGGACCTTACCATTGGTCGCACAGTGAGGAGTTGGATAGCAGGGACTCAAACTTTGGGGTGGCAGTTTAACCTTATGTATCATCTTCTCCTTGAGGTAAATTTTCTTTGTGGCCTGAAGAAATGGAGACTGGTTTTATAACTTCTTTTTTGTTTTGTTTTGTTTTATAACTTCTTTGTTTCTTATTGTTTTCCTGACATGTCTGTCATCTTCCTCCTTGGGATGTGCCTGTGGGGTGGGACCTCCCTACCTACTTGAGGAATCCATCACTGGCCCCTTCTGTTTGTCACTTGCAGTTCTGGTGGAGGTGGCTGCTGTCTGGCTGACTCTGAGGACTGTCATAAATATCCTAGGTATCTTGGTAGCTGCCTAGCTGGCCAGGAAACCTGAGTTTTTTGAAAGTAAGTCATGCTTATATTAGTTAGCATTCTTTTAGGAGCAAGTACAGACATTATAGACAGGGTCTAGGAATGCAAAGGCTTGCTCACATTGTTTCCTGTTTCTTTCCAGAGTCAATTTGGTTGTTTTCCTTTTTCCTACTTCTTCTCTTTATTTATTTTGTATGTTACTACTTACTTATTGTCTTAGAAAATATAAAATGGTCACATACCTGTGTCCCCTTCTCATTTTCTCTTTTACCTTTTTGTGTTCAAGAGATTAGGTAGGTTGAGGTTGGAATCTCAGTTCCAATTCTGAATTCCCAGGCAAGGAATTCCAGCCTGGCTCAGGTGAATAATAGCTGTTAGGGAGGTAGAGAGGTTTATATCCTTGATCTACTCATCTGGTCTGGAGTTGGGTGGAGATTGAGGGGTGTGGGGAGCTTCATTAGAAAGGCTGCCTGGACCCTACACCTCTGTTATTGTGTGACCAGTAGGGTTAGCTGTTCCTGGTGGAGAAGGCTCCTGTCCATCTCCTAGTAAGAGTTTACCTGGTCTGTGGAAATTATGAGAAGAAGGCCTAGCCCTCCTTGGCTTACTTTCTCTGTTAGGGTATTATTTCCTTACCCTAATAGTATTGGGGTTTTTTTAGGTTTCTTTGGTACCGGGGATCGAACTCGGGACCTTGTGCTTGCGAGGCAGGCACCAGAACCACTGAGCTAAATCCCCGGCCCCTTACCCTAATAGTATTATAGGTCAGTGTGGCATCAGTTTTTGAAACTCACTTTTGGATTTTGGTTTAATATATTGTTGAATTTATGTCTCTGCCTTTTTTTTTTTTTTTTGCTTAAATTCTTTTATTGGTACATTTTAGGTATATAATACGTTTACATTTATCATTGGGTGCTTGTACCTGTACATGATGTATCTTGGTTCTTATTTTTTCCCCATTCCCTGTGCGCCCTTCACCCCTCCACCCTTCCCTATTTACATAGACTTCGTTTCCATTTTTTTTCTTTTCTCATAATGTTTCCTTTCCATTCTTTCCTTTCCCTATCTCCTCCCACCACCCCTACCCCTTTCGACCTTTTCCTATTTCAAAGTAGCAATTAATGACTCTGATTTTGAATTTGTCTTTTCATAAATAACATTCTCCTTTCCTTTGATTTCTTGACATACTAGTCTTTCCCATAATTCTTTAAACTTTCAGAAAGAGCAGGCTGGGCATGGTGGTGCATGCCTGTAACCCCAGCACTTGAGAGGCTGAGGTAGGAGGATTACTGCAAGTTTGAGGCCAGCCTGAAATACATAGTGAGACTTTTTCTCAAGAAACAAAACAGAGAGTGAGGAGTAGGCCCACTTACTTTTTCACTTCTTATTTATCAAGTGCTTTTTTAAAATTTCTGTTTTGAAGTAACTAGATTCACAAGAGGTTGCAAAGAAATGTCCCATGAACTATTGCCCAAACTCCTTCCTCTGCCAACAGCCCACCAACAATACAGTATTAATCTATGTACTGCCGAAGCAAGCACAATACAGTATTAAAACCAAGAAATTATCAGTACATGCCTGAAATTCTGGAAGGCTGAGGCAGGAGGATTTCAAGTCCCAGCCTAGCCTAGGCAATTTAGTAAGACCCTGTCTCAAAAAATTTAAAGGGGTGGGGAAGGGCTGGGGATTCAATCCCCAATAGCGCAAGAAGAAAACAAAACAATAACAAAAAACTCCCAATGACATTGGCATAATCTGTAGAGTTTATTCAGAGTTACTAGCTATTTACATGTACCATACTCTTCCATGTATGCTAGCTCTGTGAGATTTTGTTACAAGTGTAGCTTTGTGTAACCTCTATTACAGTCAGGATACTCAGTGTACTCACCATTTACAGTTGAGAAATGAAGCTAAAACATTGTTTTTGAAACACAGTGGTATTGTCTAGGCTGCCTGACCAGTTCCCCCTCATTCCCCTGCCCCACTGCCACAGCCGCCACACCGAAGCCCCTCCCCTCCCCCTGGCCTCAATCTCCCCAGTGTTGAAATCACAGGTGTGTGCCACCATGCCTGGCTCATCCAGATTATCTTTCTCTTGGGGGTACCGGGATTGAACTCAGGACCTTGGGTTTTTGAGGCAGGCGGAGGCACCGCTGAGCTAAATCCCCAGCCCCCAGATTATCCTTTACTAGGGATAACTACTGTTAATATTTTGGAATACTAATATCTATCAATACATATGAGAAGACTGTTCTATAAGCAGCTTTTCAAAGGGAATTACATTTTTTAGGATGAAGTAGTAAATATTATAAAAATTTCTTGCAGCACCTAAAGGTATAAATAATTTATTAATATTTTCTTCCAATCTTAAAGTAGATACTAATATTTCACATTACTTCTGCTGCTTTTTTTTTTTTTTTTGTACTGGGGATTGAACTCAGGACCTTGTGCCTGCAAAGCAGGTGTGGTTTCACTGAGCTAAATCCCCGGCCCATGCTGCTGTATTTTGAGACAGGGTCTCACTGTGTAGTTCAAGCTGGCCACACACTCGAGGCAGTTCTCCTGCCTCAGCTTCCAGAGTGCTGGGATTACAGGCATATACCACCACTTCCAGCTATTTCACATTAATTTATAGTGTTAGTTTACATTAATTTTTAATGGTTGACTTGAACATTTTTAATTTAATAGTTAAATTTTTTACCTTGACTGATCTCTTTGTGTCCTTTATCCATTTTTCTTTTGAGGGTTGGACATTTTCTTATTGATTTGGGCAGCCTATTTATTTATTTGTATTGAGGATGAAACCTAGGGTACTCTGTTACTGAGTTACATCTGTTGCCCTGTATTTTTTTAAAATTTAGATTACAGTGAGCCATTAATTTTTGCTTGTTTGCTTTTACATTTTCTTGTTTTTTTGTTTTAGAGACAGGGTCTCACTACGTAGTCCAGACTGGCCTTGAACTCACTGTGTAGACTAGGCTAGCCTTGAACACTTGTCGATCCTTCTGCCTCAGCCTCCTGAGTGCTGGGATTACAGGTGTGTGCTACTATGTCCAGGTTTTTCTTTTTTTTTTCTTTTGAGACAGGGTCTCACTGTGTAGTTTAGGCTGGCCTTGAACTCAGCTTCTTGAGAGCTAAGATTATAGAGGTCCACCACCATGCTTGGCTGGCTGGTTGGCTTGCTTGCTTCCTTCCTTTCCTTCTCTTCTCTTCCCTCCTTCCCCCTCTTTTTTTTTTTTTTTTCCTCTTTTTTTATGTATGTGAGGGGTACTGGGAATTGAAACCAGGGCCATCTCCAATCTTTATGTACATGTGTTTAGGGACTTGATCTCACTAAGTCACTAAATTGACCAAGCTGGTTTTTAACTTGGGAATCCTCCTGCCTCATCTTTCCAGAGTGCTTACATTATAGGCCTGCACCACCACACTTGGATGTAAAAGCTTTTTATAGAGCTTTTGTATAGGCTGTGATAAGGGTTACAAATATATTTGCCACTTTTTATCATGTCTTTTGACTTGTCTTAAAGATATTTTGCTTGTTTTCATGAGGTCAAATATAACAAATTTAAGAAAAAGGAAAAAATACAACAAACTTTAATGAGTTCTTTTTACGAATTTTTTGACAACTAGGGCTGGACTGGGTTGTCACTCAGGAGTACAGTACTTGCCAAGGCACTTCCTTAGCATGCATGAAGCCCAGTGTTCAGTTCCCACCATTGTAGAAACATAAACACCACAGCACCTCTTACGGTTTCTTCTAGTTTTTCTGAGGTTTCATTAATTTTTTAAAACAATACAAGTATTTGGTCCACCTGGAATTTATCCTGGAATAAAGGGACAACTGTGGTTACCCAGTTTTCCTAATACCATGCTCCACTGATTGTTTTTTTTGGGTTTTTTTGTACTGGGGATTGAACTTGGGACCCTGTGCTTTCAAGGCAGGTGGCGGCACCACTGAGCTAAATCCCTGGCCCTCCACTGTTAGAGATACTGCCCATATTTACTTTGTTTTGTATGTATTTGGATCTTTTCTGCATTCTTTTCCTTTGAGCCATTTGTCTATATATTTGCTTGTACAATTCTAATTATTATGCTTTTATAATTTTAATATAGTTGGTAGGGCTAGTACATTCTTAGTGCTTTTCATTTTTCACATATGTCCTGGCTTTTTAGAATTTTAGAAATCTACCTAGTTACAAAGGTATTAATTTATTATCTTATTGGGGTTACATTATTACATTATTTTTGAATATTAGGCTCAAGGAGAATTGATTCCTTATGGTATTGACTCTTACTGTCCAGTAGTGGGATGCACTGTGCCATGACTTTAATATGTTTGTTCTTCAAATAATATTTAAAAATTGTCTTTATAGAGAGCCAGGTGTGGTGGCACACACCTGTAATCCCAGCACTTGGGAGGTTGAGGCAGGAGGATCACCATGAGTTTGATGCCAGCCTGAACTACATAGAGAAACCCTGTCTCAAAATACAGGAAAAAAAGTCTTCATAGAGATTTTTCATGTTATGTTTATTGAACTTACTATGTAACCCAGGTTGGCCTTGAACCCATGGTGATCCTCCTGTTTCAGCCTCCCAAATGCCCGGATTATAGGTGTGCACCACCATACCCAGCCTAAATTTAAACTTTTAAAAGTGAATAATGTATGGCTAGATCCACATGAAAAAAGTTATTGCATTTTGAAACTCGGCTGTATTTGATTCATATTTGGTGAGTTCTAGTTCTCAAGACAAAGTCATTGGTGAAATAGAATTTCATTCTTAATTACTAGTCTGTTTTCTGCTACTCACATCTTTATTGTTTTGCCCAATTTACTTCTTTTCTCTGAACTTTAGTTTCCTCATTGGTAAATTGGAGGCTTTGGAGCAGATCTTATCTGAGGTCTTGCAGCACTGCCGTTGTCACTTAGCTTCCTGGAGGTTTTCTGTTTGCCCAGGGAAGCCTTCTTGATACTATGACCTATCTGACCCCAAGTGGATGTTTGAGCTTGGTTTCTAGTGCCTTGTTGGCAGGCTGGTGACCCACCATCAAGATCATGTTAGGAAGCTCACAGTTCACCTTCCAGAGTTCATTCGTCATTTGAGTAGTTAAGATTTGGGGCCTTGGGTCAGAATTGCATGAAGTTTCTGGGAATCTACCTTTTAGACTTGCTATCCCTAGCTATCAAAATATCACTGCCACCCTCACTGTGAGCTCCTTCTTTATTATCTCTGCCTTCTTCCCTCTGTCCTCATTCCTCAATACCTAGGGAAGGCAGTGGAGCCTAGGGGTTAAGAAAGCTAGCTTTGCAGCTATCCAGGCTGTTCTGATCCATCGTTGCTTCTTATCAACTGTGTGACCTTTGGTAAAGCTTAGAGAGAACAAATGCAAAGTGCTAACACATGATCACTTCAGGGGGCTTGAAGTAAACTGGCTTATCCACTAGTAAAAAGCTGTGTTCAGGGCCCTGTAGTGGCTGACAGCTCCTGGAATTGGTAGGAATAGTATCCCATTTTGCAGGTAGGGAAACTGAAGCCCAGAGTGAAGTTACCTGTGCAAGTGACACAGCTAATGAATGTCTGGTCATAATTCAAACTCAGTCTTTTGTCATTTCAAGTTACCCCTTATCTAAAGATTTGAACAATTTTCATTCAGTCCTTATAATGTGATCAGGAAAGTGGAAACCTCTAGAAATGGGAGTGAAGACGGTCATTATTCTGAGATTGGCACTGTTCAATACATCTGAATGTTCTTTGTGTTGACTGCTACAGTTGCTCAACCTCAGGTGGTTATTGGGCATTTCAGATGTGGCTCATGGGGTTCAGAAACTAATTTAACTTAATTTGTTCATTTAAATGTAGAGCGCCATGTGGCCAGTGACTCCCATATTGGAGAGTGCCATTTCAGATGTATGACTGCAGCTCATTTTAGTAGAGTCTGTAGGGACTGCTCTTCCTTTTCTTCTTTAACACCCACCCCCCCAACACACATCTCCTGGTAAGGAAGTCTTAACTTCTGGATGCAGGATATTTTCTGAGTTTAATTTTTGTCGATTTAATTCTAACAGTGTGAAGAGTGCCAGTGCTGGCAGCATGGAGTCTGCATGGGATTACTGGAAGAAAATGTACCTGAGAAATACACCTGTTATGTTTGCCAAGACCCTCCAGGTAGAGATTTCTGGAGTCAGGGATATTAACAATATGTAGCCCTTTCCTTAGCACAGCTGGATGTGAAACGTCCTAACTGTCTTGGCACCTACTAGTCCCACTTGTTTGTGCTTTTGTTGCTGGCCCACCTGGTGACTGGCTTTCCTCAACTTCGAAGTACAAGAATATATGTGAAGAGGCTCACCTAGAAGGCCTGGCCTTGAGCTAAAATATTTCCTTTTCTTTAATTGTGCTTTTTAAAAAAACAACCACCATGAAATATCTAACCTCTTAACAAATGTTTATATGTTTGGTATTGTTCATAATAAGGACAGTGTCATATAGCAGGCCAGAACTGTAATCTGGTCTGCCTGAAATTTTGGGTATTGTGGCACACACGTGTAATTCCAGCCCTTCGGAGGCTGAGACTGGAGGATCATTGTGGGTTGGAGGCCAGCCTGAACTACAAAGTAAGACCCTGTCTCCAAAAAAGAAAACAAAACAAACCAAACAATAAAAGGATATTGGCTGCTCCTTGAGTTAGCCTGCCCTCTTTGCTCAGGAACCTGCTCATCTTCTCTGTACTCAGTTCAGCATATGTGCTGTTCAGTAAGCACCTTTTCCTTGTCCTGAGAGTGTGAGGGTTGGTGTGTGGGCTCTGCTGTTGGAAGGTTAGAAAGCTACCTGTGCTACCCATGGTGGCATCTGCCCTCCACTGCATCGCTGCCACCTGAAAGGAGATTTGGCCTAGTGGGGAAGGGTGGAAGCATGGCTGGTTCGGAACTGTTGCCACCTGGAGCAGTGTCTTGATTGCTTAGCACAATTAATTTCATGGTTATAGGTGTCACCTGTAACTTCCCTCTGGTATGGGAGGCTTATAAACTCCTGGTTCTTGTCCTTCTGTCAGTGGGACAGTAATGTCACCTCCCTTTATTACCTGTGAGGTGTCTCCCTCCACTCCAGTCTGTTGATTCCCGTGTAGCTCAACCATACTTGGGAACCTTTGCTTCTGTTATTTTGCTTGGTCCTATGAGATGGGCCTGGTAGGTCTTCTACCCCCATTTTCACTTATGAGAAAGAAATTGATGCCCACAGATGACCTTTCTAACCCATTAAGGAACAGGAATGAGAACTGGCCTCCAGGGCCAAATCTCTTGATTTTGCTGGTTTTAGGGCAGGGCTGACCATCACTCTTTCAGCAAGCAGGTCCTCGCCAAGCTAGAAGACCTCTGATGTGACAATGTCTGCTTTTATTAGCTTATTCCCTAGATGGCAGATATTCTGCTTCCATTTATCCCTTTATCCTAAGAATGTGGTCAGACAATTAGGTGAGTAAACAGGCCCAGAAGGGGTATGACTAGCCCAGAATCACTTCCCCAATTATGTCTGATGGGAGCTGAGAATCAGTGGTCTCTAACCTTTGTCTTGTAAAACAGGTGCTGCTGCTCTGAATCCTACTGTGAAGGCCACTGCCTGCAGCAGCTGCCTCTGAGGTTCCCCCGTGATTCCAAGGGCTCCCTGGGGTACCTTTTCAAGATCTTTTTTTCCTTTCCTTTTCTTCACTTTTCCCTTTTTAGAAATCACACACACCATCCTCAAGTCCTATGCACTTTCTGAATTTAAACTTTGTATGATTTTAATCACCGAGACTGAATAGACCATTCCTTGAACTGACCCCCTGAATGTCTGTCACAAGGTCTGCATTTTTTTTTTTTTGGTGCCGGGGATCAAACTCAGATCCTTCCACTTGTGCAGCAGGCGGCGAAACCACTGAGCCAAATCCCCAGCCCAAGGTCTACATTTATAAACTCCAGTGAGTTGGGATAAAAGTTTGACAGATTTTCTTTTCTTTTCTGAGATAGTGTCTCTGTAATTCAGGGTATCCTTGAACTCAAAATGTAGCCTATGTAGCCCAGGATGTCCTCAAACTCTCTTAATCCTCTTGTCTTTGCCTCCTGAGTGCTGGAATTACAGGAGTACAAGTGCACAACCACACCAGCTAACAGATTCATTTCTTCAAGGTTATTTAAAGTGTTTTTAACAGAATCACAGTGTATCTCCACCATGTACATTAATAAAGCTAGAAAGAGACCAAGAACTTTGGTAGCGTTTATATGGGCTATTTCAGGGTTTTTGTAGTTATGGACAGCAGAGTCTCCTATGCTTGTTTTTAGTCCTTCCTAAAGAGCCCAGTAATGAGCAAGATCATTGAAGGCATCCAATTCTGTGTAACAGATGGGACTATTAGCAGACATCCAGAAAAGAAATGGGGGCCTGATTCTCTGTTTAGTTAGGTGGTGTAGTTGGAAAGAGTTCTGGAGTTTCTTTCCATTCATTTAATAAATCAGTTCAAGCTGCTTTTTGCTAGGCACTGGGATTGCAGCCATGAGCAAAGTGATTCTTACTCTTCTGGCTCTTAGTGCAGTTGGAGACAGAAACATTAAAAAAAAAAATTAATGCCATGTATGGTGGTGCACACCTGTAATCACAGCACTCAGGAGGCTGACGCAGGAGGATTGCTGTGAGTTTGAGGCCATCCTGGGCTACATAGTGAGTTCAAGGCCAGCCTGAACTACATAGTGAGAATCTGTCTTAAAAAAACAGAACAAAAACCAAAACAGAACAAAACTAAACGAAACAAAACAAAAAGTTAAACAAGGCTATGATATTTAGGGATGAAGCTGTGAGGGGAAAGATGATAAGAGAGGGAGTGACTAGGGCCCCTGAAAGTTCTCTGAACTTTGGGAGATAGGAGCCAGCCCAGCAAAGTGGCACTAGCAAAGAGGCCAAGCCTGGGAAGAGTTTTTTTATTCATAAACTGAAAGTAGACCACCATAAGGATAGGGGCAGAGGGAGAGGAAAGAGCCTCGGTAAACCGAAGTTAGAGCTTGGGCTTTCTTGTATGAGCAGTAGAAAGCTGTGGATGGTTTTAGGTAGGGAAGGAATCATAGGATTTAAATTTAAAGAGATAATCCAGGGGCCAAGGATTTAGCTCAGTGGTTCCACTGCCTGCCTAGCAAGCACAAGGTCCCGAGTTCAATTCCCGGTACCAAAAGAAAAAAATCTAAAGAGATAATCCAGCTGCCTGTTCCACCTCTGGCTAGTTTCTAGAGATTAGGAGGTGGCATGCCTTATATACTACCTTAACTCCAACACTTGGTAGAGAGCTCAACATAGGGTAGGTGCCAAGCAAGTGTACATTGAATGAATAAGTGAACAAAATGAACACGGTAATCCATCCTTCTATTAGTTTCTGTGATAATTGTGCAATACTGATGAAACACCCTGGGTTTCCTTCAGGGCATGTTTAACCCTCTCCCTGTCATTGCTTTAGGTCAAAGGCCTAGCTTTAAGTACTGGTATGATAAGGAGTGGTTGAGCAGAGGACATATGCATGGCCTGGCCTTTTTGGAAGAGAACTACTCCCATCAGAATGCTAAGAAGATTGTGGCCACCCACCAGCTTCTTGGGGATGTGCAGAGAGTGATCGAGGTTCTGCACGGCCTCCAGCTCAAAATGAGCATCTTGCAGTAAGTGTGGCACTTGCAGCTTTGGGGAGGAGTCTGGTTGGCATCAAATGGGGGTAGGATAAATTTGAGAGGTCAGAAAGCCACAAAATCAGTCATAAAGCTGATTAGTTTAAAACCTATACTAAAAATTTTCAGTTCTATGGTAAATATTCCTTTTTTTTTAAGAATCTACCTCATTGCAGTTGGGGTGTAGTTCAGAGGTAGAGTACGTGTCCACCATGTGTGAGACCTTGTTTTTAGTCCTTAATAGTGGGAAAAACAAAAACACAGACACTCAAATACTGTATATTGAGGGGTATTTTATGTATAATAAAGTTCACCTATTAAGAGTGTATTGAATTTTGTTTTGTTTTGTTTTGGTACCGGGGATCGAACTCAGGTCCTTGTGCTTGCCCAGCAGGTGACGAAACCACTGAGCTAAATCCCCGGCCAAGAGTGTATTGAATTTTGACAAATGTATGCACCTAATGCAACCAACATCATAATTATGTTGCATTTATAGTTTGTTTTGATGTGCAGTTCTGGGTTTTTTGCTTTTAGTTGTGGTAAAATATACATAGTCTAAAATTTGGCATCTAAGCCATTTTTGTTTTGTTTTGAAATGGAGTCTTGATGGGCCAGGGATTTAGCTCAGTGATGCTGCGCCTGCCTTGCAAGCCCAAGGTCCTGAGTTTGATCCCTGGTACCAGGGGAAAAAAAGGAAAATAAAATGGAGTCTCTAAATTGTCCAGGATAACCTTGAACTTTTGGGCTCAATCTGTCTTCTGCCTCAGCCTCCTCAGTAACTGGAACTATGGGCACATGCCACCATGCCCATCTGCCTTTTCTTCTTTTTTTTTTGTGGTACTGGGGATTGAACTCAGAATTTCTTTTATTTTTTTTGAGACAGGGTTTCCCTATGTAGTTTAGATTGGCTTTGAACTGTGTAACCCAGGCTGGCCTCAATCTCACAGTGATTCTCCCACCTCAGACTCAGAATTTCTTTCTAAGACTGAATTATGTTTAATTGTATGAGTAAAACTGAAAGCTGTTAAAAGGGTGATTGTTGGCTGGCCTGCTCTCTAGCATAGTGGTTGCTCCCACATATATAGTTCCTGTCTCTTGGTAGTTTGCTCATATAGAAAAATTTTAGGCCTCTTGGAGCTAGACTTCTGTTTTGTTTGTTTGTTTGTTTGTTTGTACTGGGTGTTGTACCCAAGGCCTTCACACTGAGCTATATTCCCATCCTTTTAAAAATAATTTTATTATGAGACAGTATCTTGCTAAGTCTGGGCTCAAACTTGTGATCTTCCTGCCTCAGCCTCCAAAAGAACTGGGAGGTGTACACCATCACACCTGGAGAGTTCTAGCTTTAATTTAATTTAATTTAATTTGCTTTAATTTAATTTAATTTAATTTAAATTTTATTTACCAGGGATTGAACTTGGGAGCTTGTGTTTGTGAGGCA